TAATACCTTTCCTTCAAGTTTAGAAGTAGCTGTTCTACTCAATTCAAAGGAACAAACACAGAAAATCAAGCAAAATGGGGAGACAGAGAAATATGCTCCAAACAAAAGAACACGACAAAATCTTACAAAAAGAACTAAATGAAACAGAGAGAAACAATGTGCTTGATAAAGTTTAAAGTAATGATCTTAAAGATGCTGACTGGACTGGAGACAAGAGTGGAAGAACTCAGTGAAAATTTCAACAAAGAGATACAAAATATAAGAACGAACCAATCAAAATTAAAGAATATAGTGATATGAAAAATACACTAGAGGGAATCAACAATAGATTAGGGGATGAGGAGATGATCAGGAATCTAGAAAACAAGGTAATGGAAAGCACTCAAGCTGAACAGCAAATAGAAAAAAAAAAAATTTTAATGAGGATGGGTTAAGCAATCTCTAGGATGACATCAAGTGAACAAACATTCACATTATGGGACCCCCAGAAGAGAAGAGAGAAAGAAAAGGGGAGAAAATTCATTTGAAGAAATAATAGCTGAAAACTGCCTTAACCTGGGGGAAGAAAACAGGTTCAGGAAGGATACAGAGTTCCAAACAAAATGAACCCAAGGAGTTCCACACCATAACACATATAATTAAAATGTCAAGGTTAAAGATAAAGAGAAAATCCTAAAAAGAGCCAGGAGAAGCAAAAAGTTACATTCGAGGGAAACCACTTAAGACTATGAGCAGATTTTTCAGCAGAAATGTTGCAGGCCAGAATAGAGTGGCATGATATATTCAAAGAGCTGAAGGGAAAAAAAACCAAGAACACTCTCTGTGGGAAGATTATCATTCACAACTGAAGGAGAGATAAAGAGTTCCCCAGAAAAACAAGAGTTAAAGTTCATCATCACTAAGCTAGTCTTACAAGAAATGTTAAAGGGACTCCTTTAAAAAAAAAAAGGGGGACTCCTTTAAGTGAAAAAGAAAAGGCCATAATCAAAAGTAAGAAATTATGAATAAAAAAGATATAAAATATGATAACAAATACATAAAACGTGGGGGGGGAATGAAAATTTTCTTTTAGAATTTGTTCAAACTTAAGTGACCACTGATTTAATATAGACTACTACATATTCAAAATGTTATATATGAACCTCATAGTAAAGACAAACCCAAAATCTGTAACAGGTACAAAAAAAATAAAGACAATCAACATAACACAACAGAAAGTCATCAAAGGAAAGAGCGCAAAAGAAAGAAACAAAGAACTACAAAAACAACCAGAAAGCAATTAACAAAAGGACAATAAATATATACCTATCAATAATTACTTGAAACATACAAGTAGGTCTAATGCTCCCATCAAAAGACAGGGTGGTAGAGTAGATTAAAAAATAAGATTCAGTGGGCACCTGGGTGGCTCAGTCAGTTAAATGTCTGCCTTCAGCTCATGTCATGATCCTGAGGTTCTGGAATTGAGCCCTGTGTTGGGCTCTCTGTTCAGCAACGAGTCTGCTTGTCCCTCTCCCTCTGCCACCTCACCCTCCCATGGCTCATGCTCTCTCTCTCAAATAAATAAAATCTTTAAAAAAAAAAAACAAACAAGACCCATGGGGCACCTCAATGGCTCAGTCAGTTAAGCATCTGACTCTTGATCTCAGCTCAGGTCTTAATCTCAGGGTCATGAGTTCAAGTCCTGCACACTCCACACTGGGTGTGAAGCCTACTTAAAACAAACAAACAAACAAAAAATGGAAAAAAAAAAAAGTCCCATTTGTATGCTGCCTACAAAAGACTTACTTCAGACCTATAAAAATATAAAGACTAAGTGAAAGCATGGAAAAAAGATATTCCATGCAAATAAAAGTGAAAAAAAAAAAAAAGCCAGGGTAGCAATACTTACATCAGACAAAATAGACTTTAAACAAAGACTATAATAAGACACAAAGAAGGGCATTATATAATGATAACAAGGTTAATCCAACAAGAGGATATAACATTTGTAAATATCTATGCACCCAATATTAAAGCATCTAAATATATACAGTAAATATTAACAGGCATATACAGAGAAATTGACAGTAATACAATAATAGTATAGGTTTATAACACCCCACTTACATCAACAGATAGATCATGCAGACAGAAAAAGAAGGAAACAGTGGCTTTGAATGACACATTAGACCAGATATACTTAACAGATACATGCAGAACATTCCATACAAAAACAACAGAACACACATTCAGTTCAAATGCAAATGGAACATTCTCCAGGATAGATCACACTTTAGACCATAAAACAAGTCCCAGTAAATTTAAGAAGATTAAAATCATATCAAGCATCTCTTCTAACCACAACAGTATAAAACTAGAAATCAATCACAAGAAAAAAAAAAACTGGAAAAAACAAAAACATGTGGAGGCTAAACAGCATGCTACTAAACACCCAATGGGCCAGTGAAGAAATCAAAGAGGAAATCAAAAGACACATGAAGACAAATGAAAATGAAAAGACAACAATCCAAAATCTCTTGAACACAATGAAAACAATTCTAAGAGAAATTCATAGCGATACAGGCTGACCTCAAGAAACAAGAAAAATCTCAAACAATCTAAACTTACACCTAAAGAAACTAGAAAAAGTTCAAGGTTAGTAGAAGGAAGGAAATTAAGATCAGAGTGGAAATAAATGAAATAGAGATTTAAAAAACAATAGAAAAGATAAAGGAAACCAAGAGCTGATTCTTTGAAAAGATAAAATTGATAAACCTTTAGCCAGACTCATCAAGAAAAAAGAGGGGACACAAATAAGATCAGAAATGAAAGAGGGAAATTAATAACCAACACCACAGAAATACAAAAAATTGTAAGAGAATATTGCAAAAAATTATATGTCAACAAATTGGACAACCTAGAAGAAATGGATAAATTCCTAGAAACATACAACCTTCCCAAACTGAATCAGGAAGAAGCAGAGCAGCTAAATATACCAATTACTAGTAATGAAATTGAATTGGTAATCAAAAAACTCCAACAAATGAAAGTCCCTGACCAAATGGCTTTCACAGACAAGTTCTACCAAACATTTAAAGAAGAGTTAATATCTATTCTCCTCAAACTATTCCAAAAAAGAGAAGTGAAAGGAAAACTTCCAAATACATTCTACAAAGCCAGCATTACCCTGATACCAAAACTAAAGGCACTACAAAAAAACTTACAGGCCAATGCCCCTGATAAATATAGATGCAAAAATCCTCAACAAAATATTAGCAAATAACATTCAATGATACATTAAAAGGATCATCTACCACAACTGAATGGGATTTATTCTGGGGATGAGTGTTAATTCAATATTCACAAATCAATCAACATGATACGTCGAATCAATAAAACAAAGGACAAATATCATATGATCATCTCAATAGACACAGAAGCATCTGACAAAATTCAACATGAGTTCATGATAAAAACTCTCAACAAAGTAAATTTAGAGAGAACATACTTCAACATAATAAAGGTCATGACTTAAATGTGAGACCCCAAACCATAAAACTCCTAAAAGAAAATGTAGGCAGTAATTTCTTTGACATTGGCCTTAGCAACATTTTTCTACATATGTCTCCTCCTCTAGCAAGAGAAACAAAAGCAAAAATAAATTTTGGAGACTACACCAAAATAAAAAGCTTTTGCACAGTGAATGAAACACTCAAGAAAATGAAAAGGTCACCTATTGAATGGGCGAAGACATCCACAAATGATATACCTAATAACAGATTAACAGTATAAAGAATTTCTATGACTCAACACCAAAAAACCAAATATTCCATTTAAAAATGGACTGAGGACCTAAACAGACATTTTTCCAAAGAAGATATATAGATGGCAAACAGACACATGAAAAGTTACTTGACATCACCAATCACTGAGGAAATCAAATCCAAACCACAATGAGATATCACCTCACACCTGTCAGAACACCTAGAATCAAAAAGACAAGAAATGACAAGTGTTGGTGAGGATGTGGAGAAAAAAGAACCCCTGTGCACTGTTGGTGGGAACATAAAATGGACCAGCCACTGTGGAAAACAGCATGGAGGTTTTTCAAAAAATTAAAATAAAAATACCATACAATCCAGTAATTCTGCTGCCGGGTATTGACCTAAAGAAAATGAAAACACTAATTTGAAAAGATATGTGCACCTCTATGTTTATCACAGCATTATTTACAACAGTCAAGATAGGGGAGCAACCCAAGTGTCCATGGATAGATGAAGGGATATAGATGTGATAATATATATATATGATGGATAACAAATATATAAAGATCAATCGATTGATCTATGATATCTATCTGATATCTATCTATGATGGAATATTACTCTGCCATAAAAAATATGAGATCTTGCCATTTTTGACAACATGGATAGACCTAGAGGGTATTATGCCAAGTGATATAAGTCAGACTGAGAAAGACAAATACCAGAGGATTTCACTTAGATGTGGAATCTAAAAAGCAAAACAAACTAAAGGCAAAAATAGACCCATAAATACAGAGAACACACTGATGGTTGCCAGAGGGGAGGGGTAGGGCAACAGACAAAATGAGTGAAGGGGAGTGAGAGATAGAGGCTTTCAGTTATTGAATGATTAAGTCACGGGGATAAAATGTACAGCATAGGGAATATGGTCAATGGTATTTAATAGCATTTTATGGTGAAAGATAGTAGCTACACTTGTGCTGAGTGAGCATAACATATGGACTTTTCAAATCACTATACTGTACAGCTGAAACTAATATAACATTGTGTGTCACCTATACTTCAATTTTAAAAATATTATACATACACACATGAAATGACAGTAATTCTAAGGGGGAAGAAACAGTCTCATTTTCTTCCACTGATACCATGTATGTCATGATATTATCTAAGAAAAAATAGTTTAGTACATTTTCTATTATTTACAAAATGATCTTTCATTTAATAACTACTAGGTGAGGGGTGCTTTCTTACCTCTTAAAGGGAGCAGCATTTTTCAGAACGGTCTCCACCTCTGCAATATTTGCTCTGGCGAGATCTGCTACAGTAAGAAAGCCAGAAGCATAGAGGAACCTGGCTCGCTGTGCATTAAGTAAGGACACCCGGACCAGGTCACACAGCTCCCTCTGGATGCCAAATGTAAGACGCTTCTGAAATTGAGAAAGTAGTAGTTCCATGTTGTGCCAGCCCAGGCGGTTGGAAAATACTGTAATCATCCCTAGAATAATCATAGAATGTTTAGTGAATTAAAATTCTTTATAGATAATTCTCTATTTCTTTAGATTTACTTTTGTTTTGTTGTGTTGTTTACTTGCGGAATTGTAAAGTTTAAGAGGCACAAAGTGTAAGTTAACAGGATGGTAGACACGTTAAGGGCCTAGCTAATTGGTCAATAAAAGGGCTAAACACATTAAATGTCACCTATTCTTAATCATGAACTTGATATCTGAAACAACTGAGGTAGAGCATGTTAACACAAAACAAACAAAAAGCCCTCACTCGACTTTATTCCTCTCTCTCATTCTTTCTTTCTTCCTTCCTTTTTTTAAAGGAAGAGAGAATTCTTAAAAACAGGTGAGGGACTTTTTTCAACTACAGAAAAATAAGAGAGTTTATTTAAATGTTCAAGTGCTGAGAGGAGTACAAAAAGCGAAGCTCCCCATTGATATTTTCTTCAAGGAAATGTTGCCTAGCACAATAGCTATTCCCTCATGAAATAAAGAGGCAGAATAGCCAAGGCCAAGTCATTAAGAAAATCACTTCCCTATGAGAACATTCACCCTACAGGCAATTTGAGATCTTTCATGCCAATGAGTTGAAGAGTCTCTCCCTTCTTATGACCTTCTCCTCCCACCTTTCCCTCGGTATGCTCACATATGCACACACCTTCACAATGAAACCTTTTACACATATAAATCCACACACTCTCCAGCAACCCAGGGCTTATGAGGATTTCTTGGTAAAATCAGACCCAGAACTGTTTGCCTAGCTTAGAGACAGGAGTTTAGTTTTATTAAGGAGAGACCAGTGCTTCCCTAGAGAAGAGATATTTAGAACAGTCCAAGAGAAATCCAGAAATTCCTATCCATTTGCCATCCTCCTACTCAATAACAAATATTAATCAGTAACTTGATGAGATAAAGGAAACTGTTGACAACTTAGTGTCTATTTCTTCCTGTAACAGGGAAAACGGAAAAAAAAACAAACAGAAAGGGAGGATGGTCAGCAGTTGCTAAGTAATAGAGGGGGACTAAGGTCCAGACACTCAGCTAGCTGCCAATCCTCTGGAGCAGGATAACTGAACCCAGAGAAGCCACAGTTTTGGTGTTCTGATGATGACAATTAGGCTTCCCATGATCCCCTCACTTTTAGAGAAGTCTAAAATAAAACGGAATTTGAAAAAAAAAGTAATCTTAACTTGACCTCAAACCACAGAGTCTCAAATAAATGTGGAAACCCTTGTTTAACTGACCTGCATAAACAGCAGCTGACTGTTGTAAAGACTGAATCTGTCCACGACTGCATCCGTATTTCTGGTTAATTTCCTTTAAGGGAACTTCACTGATTAAATCTAATAGCACAAGACTGGTAAAAAACCTGGAAAGTAAATCACCATAAGTATGTAAGAGAGGTCTACAATGAAGATATAACATATGCTGAGAAACAAGAAAGAAGTAAAAAGGCAAGAGAGGATTTATACACTCTGAGAAGATGCTTAATAGGATATGGATTAGTGGACAAAGACTGAGCTCAATGTTTATCAAATAAATTCTGACATACATTAGTACTATAGCAAAGCAAGGAACTAATATTTATATAACAAAAAGATCTCCTCCATATTTTAATATTGCTAACTAATTTCAAGAAATAAGACTTGGTTCAAGAAATAGAATGGCACAAAAAATTAAAAGAACATTTGATACACAGTTATATGATCACCTACTCATATATCAAAAAAAATGAGAGAATTTGAAAAACCAGTATTGACTTGAACAGCAATAATGCCACAAATAATCCAAGTATATAAATCCTTATAAAATTTACATTTATGTTATAAATAATTTACTAGAGACTACCATTAAGAAAATAATTTTATTATATTTCAAAGAAGCTCAGTGATTCAATTTCCCCATCTGAATCTTTTAATTTGCTCTTCCATGGTAATAATCAATCATTTATAATAATGATACAAAGCATATCCTCAAATGAAGCTATGCTAAGTTGTCAGTTCTAATTCAAATCTTTAAGGAAAGGAAATAAATAAATGTTCTACTTTATTTTTTTAAGATTTTATTTTTATTTATTTTGACAGAATGAAAGAGAAAGAGAGAGCACAAGCACAGAGAGAGGCAGACAGAGGGAGAGAGAGAAGCAGGCTCCCCGCTGAGCAGAGAGCCTGACGTTGGGTGTGATCCCAGAATGCTGGGATCATGACCTAAGCTGAAGGCAGATGCCTAAGCGACTAAAACACCCAGGTGTCCCTTAAATTTTCTACTTTAAAAGGTCTTCATCTATAATGGCTTCTAAACAAGCATTAAGGGAGAAATTGAAATATTGATAAATTCAGTAAACACAAGAAAGTGACAATTTACTCAACCAAAACTTTGACTTTATTTTTTGGTTAAGATTTTACTTATTTGAGAGAGTGAGTGTGAGAGAGCACAAGCCGGGGAGAGAGGCAGAGGGAGAAGGAGAAGCAGACTCCCCACTGAGCAGAGAGCCCGATGCAGGGCTCCATCCCAGGACCCTGGGATCATGACCTGAGCCAAAGGCAGATGCTTAACTGACTGAGCCACTCAGGCACCCCTAAAACTTTGATTTTGATGATAATGAAAGTGACTATAGTAAACTGAACAACTACTATATATCCAAAACTGTTTTAAATACTGGACAGTCAAGGCTCCTTGGTATTTACCTTTTATGGATGGCCATCTGGCGTTGCTGTCTCTCAGTTCTGGCTATGACTTTTCCTTTCACACAGCGAGCCAAGAACCCTTCTTCAACTCCCACTAGCTCTGCCACCCGTTTCATAGAAGTTGGCAATTTCTCCCATAAACAGAAAAATTGATACCAATCAATAGTAGTCCACTCCTCAAACATAGGTGTAACCTAAGGGAAGAAGCATCATTCATTAGCTGAATTATTGCATTACAAAAGGAATAAAACTATAAAAGTAGACTTTATATTAAAAACAAAGGCCTCAGCATTTGGAAAAATTTCTAAATGTGATAATATCTCATTTATATGGAAATTTCATTTATTCACAAATAACTCAATAACCAAAAGAAAAGAGACCACTGAGCATACGAACTGGATTTTACAGAATCCAAGAACTTTAATCACAGACACTTTTAATCTCAACATTCTGACACTAAGTACAATCTTAAGTATTTTCTGATTTCCAAGAAAGAATCAGGATCAGGAGAAGAGAAAACGGAGGGAAGGAAAGGAAGAATCAATATTCACCATTGCTATATTATCTAAAATATCCAGGGTTCAACAAGAACAATAAAAACTATGAGACATGAAAAGAAACAGGAATGTGTATCCCAAACACAAGGGAAAAAGCTTGCAAAAGAAACACCTTTGAGAGATTCCAGATGTTGGGAATGTCAAAGACTTCAAAGTAGACAAATATGGTCAAAGAACAAAAGAAAAACATGCTAAATGAAGTAAAGGAAGGTATGATGACAATGTCTCATCAAGTAGAGAATAAAAATAAAAGGAAAGGATTAAAAAAAAAACAAATGGATAGGGCGCCTGGGTGGCTCAGTCATTAAGCACCTGCCTTCAGCTCGGGTCATGATCCCGGGGTCCTGGGATCCAGCCCCGTATCAGGCTCCCTGTTCAGCAGGAGGCCTGCTTCTCCCTCCTCCCACTCCCCCTGCTTGTGTTCCCTCTCTCGCTGTGTTTCTCTCTGTCAAATAAATAAATAAATAAATAAATAAATAAATAAATAAATAAATAAATACTAAAAATTGGAAATTCTGAAGGTGAAGAGTATAACAATTGAAATAAATAATTCACTATAGAGCTCAACATTAGAAGCAAGCTGGCAGAAGAATGAGAAAACATGAAGATATATCAATAGAGACTATGCAAAAAAACTAATTCCTCTGCTATTCCTGCATAAACTCATTTTTTACTTAAATAAAATTTCTCTTTGCTCTGTTTAGAGTTAACAGAGCAAAGCTGTATTGGAGCAAGGAAATGACAAGAGATAGTAACTAAAATCCAAGGAACAAATAAAGAAAAACACAAATCATAAGAATTTTAATGTAACAAGCTCTACAAATATACATTTTTCTCTCCTCTCACCTTCTTTAAAGACATAAAATTATATAAATAATAACAATGTACTACTGGGTTTGTGACACCTATAGGGGTACATGTATAACAGTAATAGCACAAAAAAGAATAGCACTATTCAAAAATTATGTTTCTATATCTCACTGCAATTACGTTAGTATAAATTTTAAGCTGTATTGTAACTGGGAATAACTTCAAAAAATAGAGAAAAATTAATTAAATAAATTACAATGTTATACTGGGAAATAATTCACTTAATTCAAAAGAAATCCATAAAAAAATGTACAGAACAAAAAGGACATAAGATATATAGAAAATAACAAGACAAAACATAGCTGTTACTCCATGTTACTAATAACGTTAAATGTGAATGGGTTAAATAACCAAAGGTAGATTAACAGACTACATAAAAAAACAGAATCCAACTATATGTTGTCTGTAAGAGACACAATATAGATACAAAAATACAAATAGGGCAAAAGTAAAAGGAAGGGAAAAGGGAAAGTATCATGCAAATGACAACCATAATAAATATGGAGTGGCCATACTAATAGCACATAAAATAGAATGTTAAAAAATGTTAATAAAAATAAGAGGAACATTCTATAACGATAAAAGGATCAATCAATCAAGTACATATAAACAACTATAAATATATACAGGGTGTCAAAATACCTGAACAGAACTTGGAAGAAATGAAGAGAGAAACAGACAATTCAAAAATAATAGTTGAAGACTTAAATACCCTAACTTTCAACAATGGATAGAACAAATAAGCAGATCAACTTAATCTTCTAAAATAACATTCTAAATCAACTAGACCTAGCAGACATTTGTAGAACTCCGTCCAACAAGAGTGCACATTCAGGGCACCTGGGTGCTCAGTCGGTTGAACATCTGCCTTCAGCTCAGGTCACAGTCTGGGGTCCTGGGATCAAGCCCCACATCAGGCTCCCTGCTCAGCAGGGAGTCTGCTTCTCTCTCTCCCTCTGCCCCTCCCCGCTGCTCATGCTCGTGCTCTCTCTCTCTCAAATAAATAAAATCTTAAAAAAAAAAAACTACTCTCTAAAGAGAGAATTGTGTTTAAAAAAAAAAAGAGTGCACATTCTTCTTGAACACACAGAACATTCTCCAGGATAGACCATATGCGGGCAATAAAACAAGCTTCAACATATAAAAGTGTAAGCTCGCCTGGCTGGCTCAGTCAGTGGAATGTGTGACTCTTGATCTCAAGGTTGTAGGTAAAAGCCCGTTTGGTGTAGAGATTGCTTAATATATACATGTGTATACTTATATATACATGTGTATATTAAAATTACACAACTATGTTTCCTGACAATGGAATGAAATTAGAAATAAGTGACAAAAAATTTGGAAATTCACAATGTGGGAATTAAACAAGAAACTACTAATAACAGTGGGTCAGGGAAAATCATAATAGAAATTGTAAAATACCTTGAAATAAGTGAATATAACAAATGAAAACATTATATACCAAATTTATCACAGGATGCAGTAAAAGTAGTATTTTGAGGAAAATGTATAGCTATAAATGTCTACATTAAAAAAAAAAGGTCTCAAATCAATACACTAATCTTCCACATTAAGACACTTGCAAGTAGAAGGACAAAGTAAAACCCAAAGGAAGAAGGAAGAAAATAATAAAGAGCAGAAATTAATGAAGTAGAAAGTCAAAAATAATAAAAAATAAACTAAACAAAAATTCATTCTGGTAAAAGGCAAACTGAAGCACATAAAATTTTGCAAGAGTTTATTTGAGCATACACTGATTTGAATTGGGCAGTGCCAAACCAAAGGTGGTTAGAAGCCCTCCAAACAGGAGATAGGAGCAAAGTTTTTATAGAGAAGATACTGAAGCAAAGCAAAACAAAGCAATTCTTTGGTTATAGCTTAAGCACTTGCCTTATTTGGGGAAGCCTCATTGGCTGTGATTAGTTGTTCTCTAGTTTAAATTTCTTGGATTTGAGTGTACTGCCTCTGGCTTAAGTTTTGTTTTGCTTATGTAAACTACCAAGGCATTAGAGTCACCTCTGTCTAATGGCCTCCTTGTTTAAATACTTTTAACAGTGCTTTAAAAAGATCAACAAAATTGAAAAACCTTTAGCTAGACTGATCCAGAAATAAGAGAGAAGACTTAAATTACTAAAGTCAGAAATGGAAGAAGGGACACCACTATTGAATGTACAGAGGAAAAAAGGATGGGGTTATAAGGAAATAGTGTGAACTGAATACCAACAAATTAGATAATCTAGATGAAATGAACAAATTCCTGGAAACATACAAACTACCAAAATTGATTCAGGAAAAAACAAGAGATATGAATAGACCTATTACAAGAGGTTGAGTTAGTAATAAATTTACTCCAAAGAGAAGTCCAGGCCCAAATAGTTTGGTGAAATCTATCAAATGTTTAAATAAGAAATACAGCAATCTTTCACAAATTCTTCCTCAAAACCACACAAAGTCATCATGAGAAAAGAGAACTACAGACAATCTATCTAATAAATATAGATACAACAATCCTCAGTAAAATATTAGCAACAGATAAATAGTATTCTACAAATAACAAAGTGGGATTTACCCAGAAAATCCAAGATTAATATCTGAAAATCAATTAATGTAATACACTATATCAATAAAATGGACAAACCACATGATGATCTCAACAGATGTGGCAAAAACACTTGACAAATCTAATAACCTCTCATGATAAAAACACTCAACAAACTAGCAATAGAAAGGAACTTCCTCAACCTAATAAAGGCCACCTGCAAAAAACCCACAACTAACACCAAGATTAATGGTGAAAAACTGAATACTTTTGCCCCAAGATAAGGAACAAAACAACATGTCTGCTATTGCTACTTCTATTCTATATTTTATTGGCGATTCTAATGGTCAATTAGGAGAAAGAAAAGTAAATAAAAGACATCCAGACTGGAAAGGAAGAAGCAAAACTATCTCTATTTGCAGATGGCATGATCTTGTATATAGAAAATCCTGAGAAATGCATAAAAATACTATTAAAATTAATGAACAAGTTTAATAGGTTACATGATATAAGATCAATATAAAAAATGTTTTAATAAACAATCTGTAAATGTGATTAAAAAATAAATTCCATTTATGATAGCATGAAAAAGAATAAAATGCTTAGCAATAAGCTTAACAAAAAAATACAAAACTTGTACTCTGAAAACTAAAAATTTTTGAAAGAAATTAAAGACCTAAGCAAATGAAAAAGACAGCCTATCTGCAAGGACTGGGAAACTTAATATTGTTAAGATGGCAATATTTCCCAAATTGACCTACCAATTCTACACAATCCCTATCAGAATTAACCTGGCTTCTTTGCAGAAATCAGCAAGATGATCCTAAAATTTATAAGGAAATGCAAGTGACCCAGAATGGTGAAAAATTTTTTCCAAGAACACAAAATTAGAGGGCTCACATTTCTTGATTTCAAAACTTACTACCAAGCTACAGTGATCAAAACAGTATAGTATCAGCATAAGGATAAATATAGATCAATGAAATAGAATTGAAAGCCCAGAAATAAACCCCCACATTCATGATCAATTGATTTTTGACAAGGATGACAAGAAAATTAATGGATTTTCAACAAATGGAGCAGGGACACCTGGATATGCACATGAAAAGGAATGAAGTTAGATTCCCATCTTACATCAGTCACAAAAGTCCAAGTGGACCATATGTGTCAATGTAAGATAAAACTATAAAACTCAGAAGAAAATATAGGAGTGCATCCTTGTGAAACT